TCGTCTGGGGTGGATGAATTGTGATTATTAAATTATTAAATTGCATGTTATATAATGAGAATAATAATAATAATAATAATAATAATAATAATAATAATAATATTGATAATAACAATAATAATAATAATCATAATAATTAAAGCAGCGTTGGGCGGGCCCTCGCACTCCACGCAACTCGGGGTGTGCTGCGGCCGCGTCACGTGCAGGCGTTACACGTGCGGACCAAAACATGAAAACTTTTAAAAAAACAACGTTTGATCACCAATGTGTCTAGATTGCAGTGACTGAATTTAAAGTCAATCTGATAAAATCCTGTGCTTGAAAACTCGAGCACGGGAAGCCTACAAATATGCGATTACAAAGTTACTAAAAGAAAAATAAGAAAAAGAATCCTTTCAATTACAATAGGGCCTTTGCACGATTTGTGCTCGGGCCCTAAGTATTTGCAGAAATGTGAGGGGTGTACTCACGTTTGTAAGATACTGTATGCTCACTCGTATGCTGGAAGAGTCTGAGTTAGGCGATACAATACGAATCACGATACAGGGCTTACGATTCCACATATACGATACATATGAGATACAATAAGCAAGGCGATATATTGCAATTTTAAAAAGAAATCCAGTTTAAGGAAAACTTTATAGTATAAAGAACAACACTTATGCATAATATCAGAGAAAAAAAACTAAAGTTTCCCTTTTTTTTTGCAACCAGAGCATAGGGGTCTCTAGATAGAGAGAACCAGTGGAATGGAAATCAAGTCAAATATCTATGGTATCTTTGGAAAATGGTCATGGTCAGACCAAATTAGCAAAAACATATTTTTTAGGATTTTTGGTATTCTGATTCAGGTGGCATGTATTCCATTAGATTTGGGTGTGTCACATGGGCATGACCAGAGGTGAGTTGCTCACAGACCAGGGAGCAGAGCAGCAACATCATCAGTCTGTCAGACAGATGGATTTTATGTACAATGCATCTGATTTTATTGTACAAGCCAAGGTTAAATTCCAACTAAAAATACAAAAAGCTTCTGAAATAGCATGGTTACCTAAAATGGTGATAATAAAACATGGAGGGAGAGGGAAGAAGAGAGAAACAGTAAGATAAGTAAATAAAAGGAATAAAGGGAGAAAGGTTTTCAGCCACACAAAAGAAACAGAAAGAGGGACAGACAAGTGTTGAGAAAGCATGATATTGGAATGTTGGAAAGTGAGAGAGGCACAGCTTTGAAGCAGTCATAAATGGTGTTTTATGTAAGCAGAGACAGGAGGGTTTTTACCAATGGTTTTTACAAGTCTCACACTGGTGTCAGTACAAGGACAGTGAAGTTAGAGGTACAGTCAAAAATCTATTAATTCACACACACTCTTGGCATTGATGCTCCTGATGCAGATCCCCTTTTTTCAACATAAACACCTCAAGTCATTCATGTTTTGTGTTTTGTTTTAGATGGGACTCAATGTTCTGTAGTCAATGTACTCAATGTTTCCCTTAAATAGAAACACAGAACACAAAGTAATTGAATTGAATAGTAACAGTGGCCCAGTTATCAAAGGAGTGAGGTAGAGCAGCCTGATAGTTTTTTCACAGGACATTAGCAATGAAAGAGAATAAATGTAATTTCCTGTCCAGTGGCATTTTACCAAGGTTTGTTTTTCCTGAGACCTTCTAATGGCTCCTGACTAGCAGAAAGACAGACAGACACAGTCGTATCTTGTTTATTGAAATGCATACGTATGCATCATATTCTGGTTTCAGAAACCTGGATTTGTGGTCCTGTTCGCAATAAACCTGTAAATGCTAGCCAGAGTACCGGGATACTATGGCATGTAAACATCTGATCCAGGTTTCTGATCACTGTCTACCATTAACAGGTTCCAAAATAAACACCCACCAATTTTGGGTCTAGCGGAAAAATAAACTGGGGTTAACGGCCAGGTGGCTGGTAAATAGTTTGAGATCACAGTGCAGGGCCAGGTTAGTACCCGTCAGGTATTAAACCACCCTGTCTGTTCAAAGTAATCATGTAAACATCGGACCATATGATAATGCATGTAAATCTCAATAACAGGAACAGCAATAATCTGAGAATATATCATATTACATAGTGCAGTCTTCTCTCTTATACTTATACCATATACTTTTATTCAAAATTTGAAAAATCACTCAAACTTTTTCTTCTTCTTTTAAAAAGAAAATATGTTTGGGGCTTTTATTGCCTTTAATGGATTGTGACAGAAAGATAGACAGGAAAGGGTAGAGAGAGGGGATGACACACAGCAAGGGGCCACAGGTCATAATTTTGATATTTTAGTAAGAATTAGGGTTATGACAATGTAGTATTTCCAAAAAGCTGAAACAAAGTACAGAAAGGAAAAAGAAATTCAACTAAAAAAGAACAGTATCATTGGCTATTACTTGTTTGTCTTCAAAAAGATCTTCTTTTTGCATATTGATTGTCTGATAATAACAGTGACTAAAGAATCCAGTCCCATGTATCAAGTTAAATCATATCTTTGCTAGATGGCTTCTGCTGTGAGTGTGGATCTATTAACTTGACTTTCTATTTAGTAGTAGATTCGTACTGCCTGGGATCACCTCAGTGCAGCGAAGCCTTAGACAGGAGATCAGCAGGGATTAACTGATACACTCAGGTATTCATGCAATGCTGATGAAACCAGTTCACATTTCATTTATACTGACTCTGCAGTGTGCGGTTGCTGAGGGGCAACACAGTGCTTTAGAGACACACCCACAATGGATACATTTGCATGAGCACAATGTTTTAGATACTATGTCATCCCCAAATTAAGATTTTAATCAGGACCTGCTGTAGTAATTAATGCAATTCATATACAGACCAATAACACTATTTCCGTCGGTGTGATTTAGCATTCTGTGTTGATTAGACATATGCGCACGACTGCCTCGTGTCATAAAGATCTTGATCTGCCTAGTGCATGTATTTGTTTTGGAATTAAGGGCAAAAAAGATGTTTATTTCTAATACTATTTTACATTTTTAAACACAGCTGTTTGTAATATAATGTAATGTAATGTAAATCTATTAGTGGTTCTGTAAGATTAATAACTGAAATATAACAATGGTGAAACAAAGAAAGCTTTGTTTTAGTACTGTTCATACAGCTAGGTTACATGTAATACAATTTACAGAGATGGGTGATCGGTAATAGTTTTTATTGAGAAAGCTAGTCATCAGCATTTCCCAGGGTTTGTGCAGTTCACAATGGGTTGAATTTAAGATTTTTTTAAAGACCATTATAAATGCAATTTAAGACCTATTATATGTCTAACTCAAAAAAAAAAAAAAAAAGGAAAATTGGTTGACGGTTTCATTTAAGTTCATCAACACAAAGTGTCCCACATTTAAAAGTGAGATTGAAAAATCAATGCAACTTTATATAAGTAACCTTAATCCTATTTAAAGCTGCAGTAGGTAATTTTATCTGGTTCCTCTGGCTTGTTCTAAAACTCCTAATGGCATCTGCAAGAATCCACCACAGTTGAACAAAATTAACCAATCAGAGCCTAGAAAGCTGTTGATTGGTGAGTCTCATTCCCAGTTCATCAAATACTGATGCTTTGGGTTGTGGCTTGAAGCTTTGGGACCCAAAGTGTTAATATTTTACAATATGGCAATTCTGTAAGTCAATCCATCTTTTAGAATAATAAATATATAAATAGCCAATATTCTTGCTGATGGTCTCATTTTCTTAAGTAGGTCATATAGAGGCACTAGTGTTAAACTGAGACTGTTTCGTAACCAGTTCAAAACTTATTGTAGCTGGTTTAAGTAAAATTATAATGACAGCATATTAATGAAAAAAGTAGCACCTTTAAACAAATGTGAAATAGAATACAGAATAGAATAGAATTTAGTGTTCTGACGAGCTAGAGACACTTGCCTTGACAGCTGCAGTGACAGCGGCGGTTGCAGCAATGCTCAGTCCCTGCTTGCCAAAGTTGACCATGGTCTCATAGCTCCTCTCCTTGGCCTGCACAATATACTCATCTATTTCCTACATGGAGACATCAGTAACACTTTTTAGTAGACAGTTTAATTGAGTAAAACTACTGCGAGACTATAATGTCCTTAACAAATAGTGCATTCAGAGGAAAACATGGATGGATGGATAATCTCACCCTCTCTCTGGAGGACAACAGAGGGTGCAGACACTTCCTATAAATGAGACTTGCTCCTCTTGTGTAGGGTGACAGCAGCCAGATCACAATGGCTATCTTCAGCTCATAGTACAGAGGAAACCTGGACATGTACACACACAGACACAGGGGAGTGAAGGCTGGCCTGTAGGTCCGATCCAACAGACGAGCTACTAAAACTTAAATTGCTGAAAGAGTTAATGCTTGTTCGAAAGGTGTCAGAACACACAGTGCAGAGCAGTTTGTTGGTATAGGGATGTATAACATTGGCTGATCGGGACAGGAACAAATGTAACAAAACATGTAACCATCGTCATGGCCACCATTTCATCATCAGCTTTGTGGTGTTCTTGGAACTTAATGTAGACAGAGCTCCACAAAATCCAAGTTCCAACTATTTTGCCAGCAGCTATGCTGATTGTGATTGGTCAAGCAGATGTGACATCACATCACATCACATCACAACAAGAACAATAACAGCAAACACAATAACTAGAAGAGGACCTGCTCCCTCTGTAGATAGAATGACTCATTCTAAGGTAAGAAAAATACAATAATTAATGAAAACATACATACAACATACAAATGTTACACACTGGACCTTTAAGGGGAAATACAAAATGGTGGGGAAATAACTCGCCCCAGCACTGCTCTAGATTCTCTATTGCCGTATAAACTTGTATCTCTTATATCTTGTTTGTTTTCATAAATGTGAAAAACAAAAAAAATCAGTGTCACTTCTTCCATTGTTGTCTGTCGCACAACCGCTTACTTCACTCACCTACCAAACAGCACAGAAATTATCAAGTCAGTCCAGTTGGAGCATTATTTAATGACATACACCCGAAATGTTTGTATAGTGAAAAATATTGGTGGCTATGGCTCAGATGCAGAGCGGGTCGTCCACTAATGGGAAGGTTGTAGGTTTGATCCCCGGATCCTCCCACCATGTGTCGAAGTATCTTTGAGCAGAATACTGAACCCCAAATTTTCGGTGTGTGAATGTGAATGACTGAGTTAGTTTCTGTTCCATGTATCAATATAATTAGTATCAGCAAGGTTTCCACTGTCACACAATCACTCACTCACAATCTCTCATATATATACTGTTTAACAGTATACATGAGAGGACTTATTATAATTATCCTTTGATAATTATTAAATAAAATTGTTGCGTGCATATTTTGTGTGGATGTTAACTGAGATAAGACCCTATGTGTGTAACTCACCATGCCAGTGTTAGGTCGGTGATGGTCTCCACCACAGTGTAGAGGGCAAACACAATCCAGTACATCATCCATCGCACCTACACAAACACACAAACAGAACAAACACTGAACAACAGAGCTACACCAATAAATCAAGCAGGTTGATATATTGGCAGATATATCTGTATTGGTGTTATACCAGATGATAAGCCACTAGATGCAGAAATACCATATCCAAGATCTGAGGTCATTTGAGGTACTACATAGTCTGTCCACCGCACTGTAAAATCCTCCTGCTCAGTATGTATCTCTGTCATCATTCTAAGGCATCTGTGTCAAGATTGTTTGTTTACGTTGTGTTTATGTTTTGAAACATTAATATGTACCAATATATCATCAGATTTTCTAAACTTTGAAATACTTCTATCAATTGCCCATTAGGGATGAAACGATATACGATATTATCGGAAATTGTTATCAAAAACATGTATGTATATATACATATATATATATATATATATATATATATATATATATTGTGGGGAATTTTTCATTATCAGGATAATTGTGAGTATTCTCAAATGAGTGACTTGGAAAAGCTGTATAGCCCACTAACACAGTCCTATATTGATTTCCTGACATGGCTGAAGGCTTGGCTTTGTGTCCCCTACAAAAAAAGTTAAACCATGTGTGCAAATGATATAGACTCCAAACTAAGGAATGACATTGTGCCTATCTGGGATGCACCAAAAATATTTCCTAACAAAACGTAAAAGTTATTCCAGTATGGCTAGTACCAGCCTCAAAAATCCAGTATGGTCAGGCTATATTGAACAACTTGATTTCCTCTTAAACATTCATAAATATGTTAGGGACATTGTTAATTAAGTACTACAATATTTCACCAGTCCTACAATCTGAAGACAAAAGCTATATAAAATACCAGATAATATGGTATAGGTTTTCATTCCCCTAAGCCTTAATTTCCGACCAAAATATAACAGTTTTTGGATGTATATATTAATATTTGATTCTACCCTGCAGCCCTTCATGTCACCTGTCAATCACATTGCAGACACTCAAACCGCCTTACTAGAAAATCTCCATCATCACCTGGTAGAAGGAAATTCAGATGGGACAGCTGGGAAAATATAGAAAAGCAAGGAAATAAAAAGAAGAGATCTGAGGTCTGACTGGGTTTAGTGAAGCCTATTGTTCTACTAACCCTGATTTGACCAGACCTAACAGGTGAAAATGGTCATTATGGTCATTATGGTCATTACTTAAGGACTTTAATACGTGGATTTATGCTTCTCTCTTCTTTCTCCTTTAATCCTGCACCTTTCCCTCTTGGGCCAGAAGCAGTGAAGGGCAAACAGAGGTTTAGGATTTTTTCTCTTTTTGCTTTTATGCTTTCTGCTGTCCTCTCTGCTCCCACTCCCTCCATCCCTCTTTAAGGGCTTTCCATATCAAAGCTAGCGGTAGACGGTGGCAGGCAGGGAGACAGTCACATGGCAAGCTGAGGTATTAGCCAGACCCAGCCGCTGCCGCATGTCTGTACACACACTGACACTAGCTAATGAAAAGTCAATGTGTGTGTGTGTGTGTGTGTGTGTGTGTGTGAGAGGGGGGGAGGGGGGGGGGGGGGGGGGAGTAATATAAGTCAGTGTTTGAAAGAGGGAGAACAACAGAGAGGAACAGAGAACACATTCACCTGTCTCACAAGCACAAACTCTAAGAATAACAAATACACACAAACACACCCACACCAGCAGTCAGTAACTTGCAGTAACTTGCATTACACTGAACACACACACTGCACTGTCTCTCCGCTGGCCGCTGCCTGTACCATTGCTGCTGGACTTGTTAATTGGTGACCTTATCATGAACTCCCTCTACACTCACACACACAGAAGCTCATGGGAATGATAAATGTATAGGAGAGAGAGTGAAACACAGAGCCAGTGAGATGAGAGGACATCTAATTTATATCTAGTTTCAATCTACTTCTGCCTCCGATGCTTCTGTCTCTC